ACAGCTAGTGTCAATCACAGGGGGGGACATTTTGCTTCACATGTATAGCCGAGCCTCCTATGGGCAAACCATAGGAGGAGAAAAGACACCCCATGAACAGCGGGTGCGCGCTCGCGCGCAAGGGGGGGGCGGCCGCCTCCTTCCTTTATCCCCGTAGAGAGAGAGAGAGAGAGAGAGAGAGAGAGAGAGAGATCGAGAGAGAGAGAGAGAGAGAGACACCACGACGACGTCGACAACAAGAAGTGTGAGAGCCCTGCGGCGAGCAGTGAACAGGTGAGAGAAGCCGTTTTTTCATGTCAACGGGGGTAACCCCTGGACAATGACCAATGAGTGAGGCTAGTACTTGTGCAGAAGGGGGAAACCCCAATACTTGGTTCGGGGTTCGGGCATTCAGGACGCAAAAGTCTTCCATGCTCCAAGGCGATGTGGCTTGCATGTGTAACACACTTCGATCAACTGGACGTTTTTCCGCCGTTCCCTTCCGCTCTCACACGGGGGTCAAACCCCATGGAAGTAATTTGTAGAACTTCACGTTCCGGGTAGGGTCCGTTAGACGTGTTCATCAGTTGGAACGGAAGCTGGGAGGGCCATGGCTCAGCGAATTGAGGCGCTCTTTTTTTCAACAACCTGAAAGGTCCTTGTTAAAGCTGCCTTTACAGACTGCAGCTTCGCCAGTTCGGTCACACATCAGCAAGCTATAATGTACAAGGTGCTGCGACGCATGACATGAAAGAGCTCTTTTGTTTTGTGGCCACGAGGGCCTCACATGCTTGATCACAAGCACCTGCAGAAAACAAGCCATCGTGATCAGAAGATTTTGGCAGCTTCACTGGCTCACGAACTGCCATCATCAACACTCCTCCTTGACATAGGCCCGCGGCCTTTGTCACTTCCAGAAGACTAGCCAGTTAAGCAGGATTCCACCTTGCTAGCCACTCAGAGGTTGCTGTTCTGTTGGCTAAGTGAATCCACATCAGCTGGGTCCTCCCAGCCAATTGTCTCTGCCGCCAAGTATAGAGGACATAGCGAAGCTGACGCGTCGTCGGGATGTGGCTTGGAGGTGGTTCATCTCCAAGCTGCGCACCCAAGCTTCTGACCAGGTCACACTTTATGCCACTTGTTGGCAAGCCTTCCGCGGTCAAGCCCTCCCTCAGGTGCTGGACAGTCATAAGGCCCAGAGTATCCTTGATGACCCTGTCCCTCTCAAACTGTCCTCCTTGTACAGGGCTTGCCGGCCTTGGAGGCGTAGCTGGTCGTTGTTCCCCAAACATGCTCGTCCTCGATCCGCTCAAGTTCATTAGAGGCGTTGGCGTCTCCGATGTCCTTGGCCCTGTAGGTGGGGTAACCGCAAGTTGCCTCGTAGGTGGAGTAGGTGATCGCGGTCTCGTAGATGGCATAGGTGATCGTGGCCTCGTAGGTGGAGTAGGTGAACGCGGCCTCGTCGAAGAGGCTGAGCTTCGCTGCCCTTCCTCCGTAGTCGAAGAAATTCGTCTTCTCACCGACTGCACAATCCGATCGGTTCCTCCACCCACTTTTCCACCTCTGCTTCGGCAGCGATCCTTGCGAGTTCCCGTAGCTTGCATGTCTTTTTTGAACGTTGGGTTCCACAGCACAGCGGAACCAATTGTTCACCAATCGCCTTACCTGCCTCCCACAGAGCCACTGCAGACATACAGGTCAGCAACAGCATCAACACCAGTTCCGCTGTCCCAGTCACCGGCAAAGGATCTTTCGCCGCCTCAACCGCCAATGACTGGATAGCCAGCAACAGAAGGAATACACCCAACTTCAAGCCGATCACCTTCTTCTCATCCAAAGCAGGAATACCCACCATGCCCCACGTCCCAAGCAGATGAAGTAGCCGTGCCTTCGAATGGAGCTTCGTGGGCAAGTCAGCAGGCTGATCCTCGCCCGCCAAGTGATTCACCTGAAGCTGTCCACTTGAAGCGCGGTCCAACACATAGGCATGTCTTATGCATAAGTGTCTCGTTCTCCAGCTTCCAGCGGCCCCGTTCAGGATGTTTTCCGCGGCCTGGTTGTCGATGTAGAGAACTGGCGTTCCAGTGTCAGGAAGGATCTCCTTCAACATGGCTTGCGTGGACTCCAACAAGAGAGCACAAGTCGGCCCTTCCATCAATTCGGCTTCACAAACCGACATAGCAACCATAGGCTGCTTGCCAGCCTTCCAGGAAACTGGTGCCCGTCCTATCATTGCAAGGCTACACCCAAAGCTCTTGTTACCAAGCGGCGCAAACGAAGCGTCGCTGTAACCTGATAGCCCCGCCTTGAAGCCTGCCTGATGTTTCGCATGCCCATGCTCTGCAGCTGCGAACTCTGCTGTGGTTGTGGCTTGTGATCTCAGCGGTTGCGCTGTGGTTTGTGTGATCTCTGTGGACTCTGCTGTGGCTTCGACCTTCAACTTCAGACCCGCTGTGGCATGGTGGAGATAGGATATGACCTTCAAACCAATCTGGTACACCCTAACGGGCATCTTGGTCGTCGTCGCGGCCATGTAATTCGTGACGTACAAGATATCTGGTCGGGTGCGGTAGGCAAGCCAAAGGCACTCGCCCGGTACCTTCTGAGCTCTTGTGAGCTCCTCGGCGTCATAGTTCTCCTCCTCACCCAAGCCTTCGTGTTGAATCCATTCCCTGGGGCAGGGGAGTCCAGCAGAGGTAGTGGGTTCAAGACCATGTAGACGAACAAGGTTGGAGATGTAGGCCTCCTGCGAAAGCGTGTCTTCCTCTTCACCTTGCTTCAGCCCCATGCCCAGGTATCTGAGGCCATCCGCTGCATACTCAAGGGAGGAACGTGGCCCAATAGTGCTGATTCGTCCATGTAGTAGCTCAATCACCGGGGCATCGGCCAAATACAACAAGTCGTCCACGTAGGTCACAAGGATGCCCACCAGGTTCGGTTGAGTGACCCCGTCGGGGCTCGAAAGAACCATCCACAGCTCTCCATCAGTAGCCAACTGTTTGAGCCACAACTTCCCCTTGTCGTAGTCCACAATCAGAACATCTGTTCGGTGGCTTGCCCAAAGAGCAGGACTTTCCCGGAGACCATATAAGGCCCGCCTGACCGCGAACACTTCGTTTGCTTCCACCAGCCCAGCCTGGATAAGGACCTTGGGCGGGAGAACTCCGTAGATTGGTCTCCCCTTGGCCACAACGCTTGCAACAAGGCTGCGCTCACATCCGTTGTGGCAGCATTCCATCCACGGGCGGTAGCCAGCGCCAGGGCCATTCGTAGTCCTTCCACACTTGCTCCCGCCGCAAAGAGCTCACTTGCATTGTGCACTTGGCCTGCCGTGTTTCTACAGATAACAATGCGAGCCTTCCTTTTCCATCGCGGAACCCTGGAACTTCACGTGGTGCTCCTCAGCGGCTGGCGGGGGTTTGACCGTGAAGACTACCTTGCCAGGGATCAGGATCAACTGTCCATCTCTTTCCATCTGCCTGGCCTCTGCTATGGAGCATCTCTCTTTTGCGTTGGTCTTCTGCTCCAAGTTCGCCAGCTCCTTCTCCATTGGTTCAATCCAGCGGTCCACGTGCCGTTTTACGTGATCAAGCGGAACATCCAGCGTGACATCGAGGTCCTTCTTGAGGTTGGACAGATACTCCTCGACGTCCCCAACCTCCTTGTCATAAGTAACATTGGCCACCTTCAAGTAGAGATCTTGACATCTCTTTTCCACATCCACGACCTGACCTTCCACATCCTCGATCAGGTCTCTGACCACCTCATTGATGCCAGCAATCTCCTCATTGATCGTCTCGCCCAGATCTCCTCCTCAGCCAAGAACTCCCGTAACCATTCCCTCCTCTCCTTCAAGCGCCCCAAAACATCTTCATGAAGTTGTTGAAGCTCCTCACCGATTTGTTGGGTCTGCTGGCGCTTCTCCTCCTCGGCCTCCTTCACCAAGAACAAGATTGCGTCCTTGCTTCCCGTATCCTTCTCGGAGTCAACACTCAACATCCTGAGCATCGTTCGCTGTAGAGGTTCAGGTACTTGAGGTTGTAGAGGTGGTAGGTCGAAACCGTACTCCTTCAACGTCTCATAGGTTGACTGCTTCACAGAGGATGTCCTTGGGGTGTAGGTCGTCATTACCAACCGTCGTCCCTTCCAGGGCTCCGTAGCGTGATACCTTCGGGGGTTGATCTCGATTGGAACTCCGGGGCATAGTTCATGAACACGTCCTCGTCTCCATCCCCGGTTCGGTAGTGGTCGCCATTCATCTTGGAAGCTGTAAGCCCCAGCGTCAGCTTCTGCCCAAACACCGCCTCCATCTTCACATGGTAGTAGAGGAAGTAGGACATTGGACCGTCCAACGTAGTTGTGAACATCCCGATGACATTTCATTCCAACATCCTCAGGGATAAGGATAGAAGTGAAGTCATTGACCCCCGTCAGCTCCTTGAAGGCCTTTGTCAGATAGTGGGTCACGAAAAGGTAGGTGTGCGTATCATTGACCACTCCACATTGACCACCATGCGTGCACTGCCCTCGTCCATGTACATCTTGGTGATCTTGTCCAGGTCGTTGGCTCCGAAAGGAGTTGGGAGATAGCGGCCTTCCCTCGAACACGCCTCTCGGGTACAGGAACCTCCGCCTCATAGGGTCCACACTCCACCAGGTCGTCGGCATCGATGAGGTAGGGACGAATATGCACTGAGGTCGTGTATGAACCATCGCTGTGTCGCGCCACTCCATCTTCCTCGTGCCGCATCGTTGGAGTACCCGACAAAGATCCCCTGCTTCCATCTCTCCAAAAGATCATAGCGTCCTCCTTCCCCAAAGCCTTTGTGCTTCACGTGTGTGGGAGCTCCATAGGGTAAGTCTTTGTCCTCATAGCTCCCAAGGGCCAAATCCCTTTGTCTCCTCGCTGCAAGCTCCGCCGCTGTAGGCCAACGTGCCATTGGAAGTCCCGCGGACCGTAGTAGAACCTTCACCCGTCTCTTGATCATTCGGAGCAAAGCCTCTGCCCATCCATTTTGCTGAGGTTGTTGGCTCTCGCCTGTAGTTGCCAGGATGTCCCGATCAGCCATCCACGCTCTCCTCTCCTTGGCCTTGAGCTCCAACCCCCTGTCTGAGTGAACTCGCGCAAGTGGTAGTCCATGTTGTCTGAGTTGTAGGTCATTGTAGGTAGATCTTCCTTGGAGGTCCTTGTTCATAGGCACCGCAAAGTGGAGGGTCTGGTACTCAATATCGTCATCAACATCCTTGTAGATCTTCTTAAATCTCTCGTTCATCTCCTTCTGCTCTTCATCCTCCTCCTCAACGGGCACTTGAACTCTGTCGTCCTCCTCAAACGGGCCCAATTCTGGCTCGATCTCCTCATCTTCCTCGTCGGGTAGCTGAATGTCTTTGGGGAGGTCCAGTTTGCCCAACCAGAGGGTATCGGTACTTCTTTCCATCCGGAGATTCCCTTTTTATCCTCATTGGGCCAGCAATATCCAGGGACAGGGTGTCTGCACTCGGAGTCAAACACCTGCACGGTTCCCTACCAGCTTGCTCAGCACTGCCTCGTGACGCCTCATATCACTTCGCCTCCAATTGAGCAAAGCCTGAGCCAACCCAACCTTGAAGGATGAAGGCCACGAGGACGCCGGGGTCGTGTAGTTCGGGCCTCCGATTGTTGCTTCATCCACATCCAAGCCATCAGACAGCTCCAAAGAGGACGCCAGGAAGTACAAGTTGCCCTGGGACGCCACCGAGTGGTAGTTGAGGAACCTCAGCTCGTCCCGAGAGGAAAGCCACGCCGAGCTGGTCCAAAAGTGGTGCCACGTAGGAAGCTCCAGCGTGAAGGACGGGAACCGCGCCCGAGTTGGCCACCAACCACAACATCATCATCCGCTTGAACAATAAGGAGCTGTGTTCTGATCCTCTAGGAGGTGCACCTAGCACTGCTTCAATCTGGCCCCTTGCCGCTGCCCACATGAAACCTCGGACAGCTCCGTTGAAAAACCGGAGGTCGTAGGCCTTGGAGCTCCTGACGTCCATACGGATCACTGTCACATCCTCTGACTCAGCCCGGGCAAACTCTGGTCCATGCTCCTCACCATTGTACAAGTGGACCACCCACCGAGTTCGAAGAAGACGTTTCCGCGTAGCTCGGTTGATCGGGAGTGCCTTCAGGTGGTGAGCACTCGCATCCTGGTAGGGCTCCGGAAGCTTCGGCAGGTCCAGAGAGCCCTTCCGCAGCTCAGGTTCATGGCCATCCTTGCGAAGCTGAAGTTGCTGGAGCTGCTGTATACCCTGGGCCAGCAAGTCCAGGGGGCTCGTAGGATTCATCTCTTCGTGCACCCTTTCGCTTTTGTCACCAGCCCCAACTTGCCCTTGGTGCTCAAGTCCAACAGCAGCCTCGGGCTTTTTTGCGGCATCGCGCGGCCGCCACCGTCGGTTTTTGCTGTCAGATGAGCTAACCAATCTGGCCACATGTGCCAGGGATATGGCTCTGAGCGACGTCGCTCAGAGCCAGAGCTACATCACGGTTTGCGGCCGGCTATCCGCCTGGCCAAGGCGGCTGCAGCGCGCCATCAGCTGGGACGAGCTGGAACGAGGAGAACGAGCTCACAGCTCTGGAGACCGTCTACCTGGCCAAAAAAGATACAGACCAAAGGACTAGAACTTTCGACCGCACGCTACAGAGGATAGAGCGAGGAGCTCGCAGGATACAGCCGGCTCTGCAGGCCCCGGCCCCGGATAGCCAGGTAGTGCGGGACCTTTTCACTTGAGGAGGAGCAGGAGGCGACCATGTGCAGGCTAGCTTCACGTGACACTTTTCTTTTCATGTCATCGTGGTGTTTTCTATTTCTGTTACATGCTTGCATGCACTAACAGCCGTTCCGTGTAGCTTTGTGGCTTCAGCATGCATGTGCACTTTTCGCACACCGCGCCCGACCGCCCGTGCAACAAGTCTCATGCTCCAACAGTCACGCCTTGACTCAATGCATCTAGCACGCCTTGCTGGAACAAGCTCACGCACGCCGCAGAGCCAAACCCAAGCGCTGAAAGTAGCGCAAACCGTCTCACATATAGGGGGCTCCCTGCCTGCCTGCACTGCCAGGCAGACAGGCCGCGACTCTGAGCAGCACCCATGAGAAAACGAGAGCTAGCTTTCCTTTGCATGTTTGCGATGCCACATGCTACGTGAACGATAATAGAGAACCTCGCGGGAACTAAAGTTATCAAGTTTATTTACCTTCGATGTTCACAAAGGGGGATGCTTTCTGGGTGGCGATTGGGTGCTTGTAGGGTCAAAACTGCAGTATTGGGTGAGTATTGGGCTTATCAGTTTCAGTGGTGATTCTGCAACTGCATAGCTCAGCTTTGGGAAGTTATACTATGACAGTATGACCTTGGGTATTTTTCCAACACTGGGTGACCACTGGGTGTGGGTGACATCTGGAACTAGTCTGAAGTACCCAATGAATGTACAGCAGAGTCGGGTGCTTTCTTCAGAGGGGTATGAATGGGATTGCGTAAGCCTTCTCTGAACATAGGGTCTGGATGAGAGTCTGGTCTAGCACCAGAGTGTTTTTTGAATAATTGGGTGTGATTCCGGGGGCAAATCGATGTCCATCACGACTGGCCCGTTGACAGAATTACCAGCCGAATGTCAAACATGTAGTTTGCCGGTCTGAGCCGTTTGTCCACTTCTTTGTTGATGTCGTCAGTCGTCGTAATTTTGCGGATAAAGCTATCGATGATTGGGCCTGTAAAAGTCTTTGCAACCGTAATGCACTGGGCTGAGAAGATGTACATGCAATACAACTTCTCGATTCTTTTCTGCATTATTGGGAGTCAAGGCTGATTACCTTCGTGTAGTGACTGGTGACACTTTGCAGGTACGTGGTTCCAGCGTCCCGGAACCATGTCAGTTCATTCTTCGGTCGTGGGGCATCCCCGTGCCTTTGAGCATTGTTTCAATGCTATCTCGATGGATCATTCAACTCGAAGGATCATATCGCTTCAGCTACGTCAGAAAACTGAAAAAAGACTTTCCTCGAATTTCCTTAGGTGCAAGGTCCCCTACATCTTCGTTTTTTAGTATTTGCACAAAAATTCTTCTTGAAAACTCAATCATCCATTGCAATTAACGGCTACAACATCTACAACGAACACTCCTCGGAAGGTTTTCCACACACACACACAAACACTCACGTACCGACACAGACACAAACACACAAGCACACAACACACAAAAACACAAACACACAACCCACAAAAGCAGACAAACATACAAAAAAACACACACACACGCACGCACGCAC